GTATGGAGAACTTTTTGCTGACTTTTTTGGTGCAATAAACTATTCACCCTAACTATATCATCATAATACAAACTGTATCAAAGAGTAAACGGCAATTCATTTTTGTCCTTAAAAATGCTTAAACAAGCATTTCTATGTCAGTCTGAATCATCATTTAAAGATGCTAATATTCCCTTACTCTATTCATTCTCCTGAAATGAAATGAACGCTTACTCATCTTACAGAATTTTTCAGAAAAAGAATGTTAATGCAAAGCACAGATCAAAAGTCCTTCTCAGCTCCAAAAAATTAACTCTCTGAGGCCAGATTTTAGCATCAACATTTACAACTTCCCACTGAAAAACTGCTTTTTGCCCATGTTGTGCACTCTGGCTAAGATTTTATATTTTTTCTGAATGGCCCTGGTAGAGAAACTAACAAGTCTATGTAAACAAGTGCAAAGGCAGAAGTAGCCTAACTATAATATTTCAATCAAGCCAACATCCAGAAATACAGTGTAAAACTCTGATGATCTGGCCACTGACAGCTTTAATACCTCGATTCATGAAGAATACCACCAAACAATAGAAGTTGCAGCTACCTGAGACTCAGCAAATGCAATTTCATTTCTTCATTTCGGTGGCATCGTTACCAGACTACAGCTTTGTGTAGATTAGTCAGACACATCAAAAACCACATATTAGTTGAGGTGAAGCTGTGATGACTGCAGTCGTCTAACAGTGTCAATCTGAACTTTAGAGGAATATAATTTCCTAGCTCTAAGTGACAGAGATACAATATAAATCTCAAATATTGCCAAAGTAGTAAATAATTAGCGAGCAGAACAGAGCAAAATAGCAAGGCTGAGCACCCACCCAAATTTTGAATCCTGACTCAGTGATCAGAATGATCCATCTCTTTGCCTTGAATGATAAAGCAGCTCTCTCACAACCTAACACACAGCACCATCTGGGCATGAACAGAGGAAACTGAGAACTGGAAGAGAAGCACAAAAGCAACTTTCTTGCTTCAGGATTGTCCAAGATACTAACGAAAATCCTTTAAACCAGTAACACCTTTCTGACTGCAAACACGCAAAAACGAATCCACTTCTCGTATAGAGACATACTCCTATAACTAATCATCTCAATGCAATGGTGCTGAATCAAACTGAATTGTTTGGACTATGAGCATTCATTAGAGACAGTGTGTGTGACAGGTCAGTCGTCTACGGGACCAGTCAGGTTTCTGAACGTCACCTTGTGTCTCTCAATGAGGATTTTAGGAGAACAGAAAACCTCCTCAGCAAAGCTCACCATGCTCTTTTTTTTTTTTATTTATATGAAGTGTGACTAGAAACACCATGTTAAGCTGTGCTTAGACCTGTGCCTGGCACACGCACTACTGGCTGTTTGCCGGGGCTCCACGTCCTGCTGGTGCGATGGGATGGTTTGAAATGGTCTGACCACACCACAGGCCCAAGAGGAGACATCGAGCTGTACCACCTATGTGGATGGGCTGTGCTGAGTTGTTAGCATGAGATGCTGGCAGGATAAACACCAACGGAGTCTGCAATCTGGATGACATTAGACTGTCTCACTGATGGTAGCACAGATTTATTTTATCATTGCTTTCTGAAAGTGACTTTTAACGCAGACTGTTTTCTAAATGATCCTTAAAAGACACTCCCTTCTTCCTCATCACCTTCACCCAAGGCAATAACATCCAGTAGCACTGATCTATTTGCTGCTAGTTTTCATTAATTTTACCCTCCCTAAGGGTGGTGCAGCTTTGGTGCCAGCTAATTAAAACCTATTTAGGGCTGTTCAGCGCACTCTATCAGACCAGAATTATCTCTGCTGCTTTAATGAAGACTATAGTTTTCTCTGTTATTGCCAATTAAATGTTGTTATATGATCTTATGTTATAGTTACAATGCACGAGAAAGTTATAAATGACTTTAGAATTGCTTACCTGGATTCAGGTAAGCTGCATTTAATAACTACCCAATGTTTCTTTAAATCCTTTCACCTGACTCAGTACATATAATATACTAAAACATTAGCAAAGTATTGGAAGAAGCTGCTAGCTTTATGCTTCCTCTAGGGAAGTACCAAGTAAAATGCATTAATGAAAAATTGTGAATGTGTGGTAATGAATATTATTTATGTTGAATAATTATTCAAAGCAGATGAACATTCACTGCCTTGAACTCAAATGCTTCACTAATGAAGACCCTCAGAAAGAACACATGTCCCCCAGATTCGTAACACTGCATGCAGGGTTCACTCTCCAGCAAGGACAGTCCATATCAGAGGATATTTTGTACTGCAGGAGAATTGAAAAATGCTTTACTCTGAATTAATAAAATATATTTGTTGGAAGCTCTTTCGGTGCAAATCTCATTTCTTCCATGACCCAATAATAAACACTTTGTCCCAAAGCAAAGCTGTGGGTTTGGAGCCTGCACTCACTGAAGTCAGTGACGAGGGTCCCACTCCCGTGGTGCAGGACCAGAGCTCGTCTGCAGCACAGCAGTGACCACAGCACACACCTGTTAGCTGCTTCCTGTAACATCCTCTACAGTTTGAGCACTATTAGGATGCAACTACTTAAAAGTCCCACTAATTGCCTAAAGAGATGGTACATCAAAGAGCAGAAACAGAAAGCTCATTAAAGGCTTGACAGACCAGAAATCTGTTGCAATCTTAGTATGCACTGGTAGCATAACACTGTACATAAGGATTGTATTTTAGGATCAGACTGAGAATAGATGTGGTTACCTCTCACTCGGTGCGTTTTAAAATATGAGTTGAACTTGGTTTCCTTCCAGGATTTTTTGCTGGGGACATGTTGAAATAGACCTCTGTTCAAACTAATATTGGAAGCAAGAGTTGATGTTTCTCCTAGGAACTGAAGGAATATCTGGCTGAGGAACCTGAGTCTCTCTCAGCATCATAATAGTCTGGCATAATGCGTGAAACTATTTGCATCACCCACAAAGCTCTTGTGTTTTCCCTTTCCTGCTTCCACAAACACCACATTCCTCTAACAGCCTTATGAACCCCTTTGAAACAGCAGAACGGTCTCTGAAAGATGTTACAGAAAACGAAAGCTTCCAAACCAAGGTCCTCTGCTTAGTAGGGAACTGCAGGGTATTTTCTAGCGATACAGAAGGTGTTGGCTGGTGACATGTTGATTGCTTCCCTTGTTTCCAGCTGACAAGCTGCACCACTTAGTATTTTATGTAGAAAAGCAGGTGAAGAAAATAAGTGTTTCAATAGAAACAAGGATCTTACCTGATTTCTACTGTGAGAACTGTAGTTTTCTGGTGAGGTGAAAGGGAGGTACTTGCAAATGCAATGTGAAGTGGATCATGAGGCAGTTTGTTCACACTTTGCCCCTGATGGCCATATGAAAGTTTTAGTTGTTTCAGAGGATTAAGGAGAAAGGTATTGAGCCACTTTGAAGTCAGGCTGCTCAAGAACTTTGTTAGCAAGCACAAGGAAAATGGAAGTTCAATTTGCCTTTGACTTAGAAGGAAATATTTGTATTTTGTTAATTGGGTAATAATAAAACTTTGTGATGCGTTAATTTGTTGAACTGGAGTGCATTAGACTGGACTTGAGGACGCTCTGATGAAATATTTGATAAGAAAAACTAAGATACCCATTGCAATTGGCTGATCTCACAGTAAAGATTTTGATAAAAATGTTGTCAAGTCACCGTGACCTTACTGATTTTACTAAAATGGAAGTGCTGTAAATATAAACAAATTTATCTTTAGTAATGCAACAGAAGCACCTATGATCATATTCAGCTTGATTAATACGTAAACTAGATGACCTGGATTATCAGAGGGCACTTTTGAAGAATGGTTCTGTGTTTTCTCTACTAACCTCTATTGATCATATGTTAAACCAAAGAAGCTGTGAGAACCTGGACACCTTTATGGCATATAGGAGCTCCCTCCAGTTCCAGAATCCCAGCAGCAGTATGTGCCCACGGTGAATAAGCTGAGGGTCAAGTTCTTCCCTACATTTTAGTGCCTTTTAAAAAAGGCAAAACCAAGTTTTGACAATTTAATAACAGAGAACATCATGAAGGAAGTTTCAGAGAACAATCTCTTCTACTTCAAAAAATTAAATAAAAACTTTGGACTAAGTTCAACTGTTTGTGTATACCTGTATTTTCAGTTTGGTGAGAGAGCTACAGTTCTTGACAGCTGACACCCAAACTGAAATAATAACAGTAAGGCAGAAGAGTGATCCGGAAACTCCCTGCTAGCTAGCTCCAGTGAGTATCTGTGACAGCTTCTTTTTCATGCAAAAACACAGAGGATCCGAACTTTTGCAGATCATCTACAAAATTCTGTGGTTTGTGGACTGAATCCCACAAATCCAAATTCAGCACTAAAAGTGCTAGCCAAAATAGCGACCCTCACACTTCCATCTCTCTTACAGCCTCCACTTGAGCAGCATAAACACACATTCTCGGGCAAGGAGAGTATACCAACATAATTATGGTAGAAACCTAAATCTGTTACAGTATCACTGATAACCTATTCTCACCAAGAAATACAATAATCATTCTGTACCCTGAAGTTGGTGTTTGAAGTAAAGCTAAAGCAAATCTCAGCAGAGGAGAAAATACAATATCCAGAGCTATCCTGAGGCTGTGCATTTAGAAATGTTGTTTGTGTAGGATTATCCTCTTCAAATAAAATGTCAATTTAATCAATAGTAAATTGAGCTGAAAACAACACACAGCTTTTAAAATGTTTCAGGAAGACATCCAATATTTTTGGGACTCAAGCCAACAGAAATGGAAAGAACAGAAGGTAGCGTAGGTGGGGTAAATGGGGCCTAGCTGCTGCCTCATCAAGTGCTTATAACAGTCAAAACCATATAACAATCCATTAAAAACATATCTAGGGACTCGTTTAGTAGCTGGCATCCAGCATGGCCTGCTCATGTATCTTTTTTCAAATATTATAATTGCTCTTCAGCAGTAGGACTTACCGGTCTTTTCCTGTTTCCTTCTTAAACACGGCATCACAGTAACCCATGCGCTTTTCTGTTGTCACATAGATTCTGGCAGCTGGGTAGCTGTCAACAGTTTTCTTCAGCATGTTGTACACAATGCCATTTCCATCTTTCCTCATGTTCCGAAAAGGCCCCCAGATCACATAGGCAGTGTTGTTGGTTTCTTTGAAAAAATACTCGGGATTCTTGAGTAACAGAGGCACGCTCGTGTGAGAGACCACTCTTACGGTTGTCCTCTTCCCAACATCCTCCTCATAGCCCTTCGTGGGAGCGTTGTTCATCCTCCATATGCAGGAGGACTTGTCTATCTCAGCTCCCACTTTCTGGCCAGCCATCTGTCCTGAGTTTGAAACAATGGCACAGAGGTCACAGTCTAGTCGTAGAGGCTGCAAGACAGAAAACAAAAATATATGGCAAGTTCTTCTCTGTAAAACATAAAGGCTGAAAATTCATTTAAAAGAAAGATGTCCAGCAAATTGATAGCAATACTTCTCTTAAAATAAATATCAATCCCCATGTGGCAGAGCTGGTGTAAAACTCTACTGCTACAAAGTTCTGAATGCAATTTTTTTTTTCCTGAAAGAGGCAGTAGTTGTAATCTTTTTCTTTGTTCTCCTCTTTGCAAAGTCAACTAGAAAAAGAATTGTTCCTTTTGCTCTCTAAACATTACTCTTCCCACTAGAAGAGAAAACAAAGAAAGAAAGAAGCAGCAGAAAACAGGAGTTAGATCAATGCCTTTTTCTCTTTTAACAAGGTGTCGTCAGCAATAGGAAAAAAGTACCCCAAAATGCTAGAAATTTAACTATACACTGACTATGTTTATGTGTTTGAACGAATAGTTCTCACGCTTGTGATAGGAGTCAAAAAGGAAGTGTTACTCTAACAAGCAATCTGGTAGCATGAAAATCCTGCACTTGGAAAGGAGACATGTATACAAGAATACAGTGCTCTCCCCAAAGAATAGTTATGACCCATGAAAAACAAGGGGCAGAGGGACCGGAGATGTGTGAACTAGGAAGGTAATCCCAGGCACAGTGCGGTCAAAGACAGTATTTCCTGAGTGCACTCTATGATACTGTTTCTCCTACATTAAATGGCAATAGGAACAGTTACCTATCTTACAGAGACATAGGGACCTATCTGATCTTCCATTCGTAAAACTATAAACAGCAAATACATCTTTTGTGTCTTTTGCACCAAAAGAATAAGAGGAAATGCCAATATATTTAGGTTGGATTTTATGAACAGTTTGGCTGGCAGCCTGAGCCAAATGAAAACGATATCCATCCAACAAAAACTACAGAAGATGGTCCAGGCTACAGATTATTTACAATTTCGTGCATGGTCACAGACAAGATCTTCTGTCTTGCTCTTGACTGGGAGCCAGTGACTTCAGTGGTATGTCCCTTAAGGATAATTCCTTCATGTTTTTCTGACACTCAGCCTGACAGGATGCTAAGTGCTTTTCTGATCAGCCGTGTGGTTATTTCACTTCAAAATCACACCTTCATTTAGCTGATGGCGACGAATATCCTGGACACGTTTGACTGTGGTAACTCTTAGGACACGGTGGCCAAGAAGACATGAAATTTGCTTGGTAATGGTACATATTATAAGGACATGAGGTAAACATCTGAAGAGAACCAAATTATAACAGCTGAAGTAGCTTATATTTGGTTGACAAATATTTAACTTAACTAAGGTGCAACCTGCAAGATTTCTGCAAGAATCCTAGCCGTTGCAAAGGCCCACTTCTCTATGTGAGTGGTTCCTGAAAATGTTTTTTCTCATTTTATCAGGAGTTAAAGATGCTTGACTACATGCAGAAACACTGGCAATGTTTTATTTAGAGAACATCATGTATTTTTTTATAGCTATTGTAGTTTTAGAGAGCTGTCCTGCCTAGCTCTCTGAAAGCAGAGATGCAATCCCAGGAGATGCAGCTGAACACAGCAGTCTTTCTGTTTACCACTTAGTTACAGAAATCCTCTCTAAGATACTTTATGAGGACATGGCTGGGTGACCTAAACAAATCCATAAACATAACTTACATCCTAACATGAAGTGAATTGTTAAAGCCCCAGAAGATTAATTTATAGCTTTCAGGGTGAACTTGCAAACTAACAAATGCTGAATATGAAACGGCTGGATAGGAAAATGCCATTTTGGTCAAGAATCTGGACCCATTTAAATTTGCCTCAACCTCAGTGTGTTGTTTTTTCATAATACTCTTTCTCCATTAAAATGAAGCTGCTCTCTCAAACTTGGAATTGTTTGATTTCTGACCTTAGTTAGAAATGCATTGCACATTTTCTGTTCACTGAGTGCAACTGTTCTGCTCGAATAAACCAAATACACTTGCTCCTGCAATCGTGTCCCCCAGTTTTCTAGCTCTTTTGTTGTGATTCATTTATCTTCCTCCAATTTATAAAACACTTTCGTAATATTGAATGCCCATACTAGGTCGCTCTTCTTCAGTAAAGAAGAGGCTTAACCTCTCCCAGCCTTATCTCAAAACAAATATTTTAAAAATTAAAGAATAATTTTAGATGTCCTAATGTGCACCTTTCCTAACAGAGATCCCAAAGAAAGTTAAGACAGGACTCAGTGTTCTCTATACCTCTCACCCAAGCCTTAAATACACCCATGACAGACAGTCTACTGACTCCAGCATCATTCATTGACTGCAGTATCTTCTTGCATGATATCTTTCGCAATTTATGAGAAAACACACATCAATACTCATTCATTGAACCTCCACATGGAGATAGCCCAGCAGCTTGTGGTCTTAATTTACAGCTGTCACAAAGGGGACGGTTTCAGTAATCCACATATAACAGCTCTCCTTTTCTTCATTTAACGCAATGTTCCCATTTGCAATTGCACCCTCACTCAGGAACGGCTCTCCCATCACTTTCAGACATGAAAGCTGCTCAAATGTGGCTTCTCTTTCGAGTGACTACTGAGGGAGATATTCAGGGACAGAGGGTCGGGTATCCAGCATGGCCAGAATTGGGAAGCAACAGGACTGTCAGAGTTGCTACTTCCGATACTGAACTAGGACCTGGCTGATGGCTCCTGACAGCACTGGGACTGTGGGACCCTTGAGGAGCTGCAGCGATCTGCTGTGGCTCCCATCACCCCACTTTCTGGCGTGTATGCTACGAACCTCACACGTACATCTCATGTGCAGATATTTGGTTCTTAACATGTTCAAAGTTGCCCATGACAGCCCTAACCAGTACAAGAAGTTGGTCACTTTTCTATTTAACTTGCTGTACTGTTTGTGTTAAGCATGAGCAGAGGCAGAGGAACAATTCTTATACACAGAAACCTGAATACAGAGAGACAGAAACTGGAGAATTACAGAAAACTCACTTTGTCGGTGATCCGTTTTGCAGTTAACAGTAAATATTTACAGGTGTTCGTATCACAAACACCAGGATAGCAATTAAATACTAACCCATCAGCAGCCTAATCGGAGAAGCCAAAGATGGACCCGGCAGCTAGTCCAAGCTGTCTCTCAACCGCAGCGAGGGTCCAGCAGCCGCTAGGTCGGCTAGATTGGCAGGACAGCATGGGAACCTGCACTGTTACTGTTCATGCTTTCTGGCCAGGGAATGTCAATTAAGGGTTTACCTGTACCTCTCACAAGATCTGTGTTTGCTTACATTATAGCCATATAGCTAAAGAAGAAAACAAAGAGAACCATTCACCTTTTCTTCTCTTTTTGTGTATTTAGACACGTATATCACCTCTACACACCACGGTCTCTGAGCTTATCCTTGATAAGATGCTTTTACTCTAGAAAATTATTCATTTCATTGCTAACCAGAAGGACATAAAACTCAGCAGTGCAGTTGGGCATGATTCTGACAAATTGTCCCGTCTTCTTCTTGAATGATACATTGTAACTGTTGAGCAGCACTTATATTTTAATCCGTAAAGAAAATGATGTCTGACCTTCCCATTTCCTGTGCAAGCTTACAGACAATAGAAAAGATAATTAAAATTGTGAATTAGAACTTGCAAAACAGTGCTGCTTCTCTAGCGAAGAGAAATAGCCGTGTAATAAAGGTCACTTATCAAACAGTTCTAGCTATTATATCTTTGCATTTAGCACTGAAGTGGCTTCACAGAATCAAAGGTCAAATCGTTAAATAACAAAACAGCCAGAATTAGAAAAGGTCACGAGCAAATCTAACTAAAAGTAGGTCACAAAACATGATTCAGTTCCACAGAGGAGTTTGATATTTGGAAATTTGGTTACTTTCCAATTTGAAACAAACTCCCAACATTTCAAATGTCTCCATCAAAAGAATGAAACTCCAGCTACAGGATCATTTGCATGTTTGGGTTTCCCAGAGGCACCCAGAGGCCCTTGGGATCTTGCTTCACCAAGTTCCCAAGGGCTGCTGAAGATCCAAGTGGGCATGGTCTCCTAAACCCGTTGGCCAAAACTTCACCACAAACTTTCTGATCTGTCTGAGTCATCGAGGTCTGAAAAACAATGTCGTGATTGACTGGCTACATTCCAAGCTGCAATCTTAGCAGAGACAGCCAAATTCACTCTTTAGCTGGACCAAATCTAGCTCAGGATCTAAGGAGATGTAATTTATACTAATAAAAAGCTGAACTACTCCAGCGAGTTCTTGGCACCGCAGGTTGGTGGTGCACTGCAGAACTCACTCCAACCCGCAACTCTGCTTTACTCTGTGAATCCCACAACTAATCATACAGACAGTTAGGAAATTCAGATTACATTTTCACAATGGCTACTTTAACAATATGATTGTAATTTTGTAAATTGGACACAATGCCCATTCACGAAATAACGAGGCAATTATCAGCAGCTCGCCACATATTAATTTGCTCTTTTAATGTTGAAACAAATGAGATCTTTTCTTATAATCATCCGATTTTAGTGAATCCTAACAAAACTGATTGAACAAAGCTCCAGAGAGACTTTCTTTATTTCAGTGCCGTTTATTCTTCTACTCTTCTTGGATGTCTTTAGAGTTTTAGAGGATACAACATTTATAATGATGCCAATAGGGAATAGATTTTGCCTTTATTCTTCTAGATGTTCTTTGAGGTCTTTCAAATGACAGGTACAAGAGAGGCATTAACCGTCTGGCTTTGTTTTTATTGCTTTTCTCTACTTTTCAAGCAAAAAATGTATTTTAATTTTTCCTGCGTTTCAGTAATGATTAACCAAGCTGTTTTTATCTACACTGACTCATTTTCTTCAGAGCTCTAACTTAGAGGAAAGACTTGCCAGGGTTCTCTGAGAGAAAACTCAGCACATGTAAAGAAAAGAAAGACAGTATTTTTTTCGCTTGTGTGTTCACCCAGCAAGAGTTATCAGTTTAATACAGCACTCAGA